CTCAGAAAACACTTCCCAGAAGACTTCACCTCAGTGATGCTGGCTCCAGCCAACCAGCATCAGTTGTGCCAGAAGTCCCTTCTGTTTTTACACTAAAGCCAGAGCCACATGGCCAAAGCTGCTGAGTTCTGCTGCTTGCTCGAGCTAGAACATGGCTCTCTTGTTCTATTACATTATTACCAGACTTCTGTTTTCCCACTCATTCACTGCCTAAGCTTGGCTGAAACTTGTTCTTTAGATTGACCTTGAACTCGGGGATTCATATGGCTCTGTTTCCTGAATACTGTGATTAAAGGCCTGTACTATCTTACCTGGACCTAAGCTTTTCATGGCCACTATGCCTCAAGATTTCCATGTCAAGATCTAGGTCAGAAACTTGTATCTTCCAGCTCAAGATCTCGATTCTGGATTGTAGTTTATTCCAGATAGAGTCAAGTTGACAGCCAGGAATAGCCACCACAGCTGGCTCTGTAGACTAATGCAAATCACCAGGTTGTTAAACAACACACACAACAGCCTTCCAGATAAGCAGGTGTTAGTTCCTTCCACTGGGGGGGAAAAGCCTGCGTATTTAACAATTCTAGTTTCTCTAGTGAGAACATGGACTTCTTGTCCTTCTACACTGGGTGTGTTTGGGTCTGAAAAGAAAAGTCAAGATTTAGGGCAAAGCACTAGTTTTTTATGCAAAGGAACTTTAATCCAGCAACATGGCTGCTCTGGTAAGAGATCACATCTAAAGGCCTTCTAGGTCTATGTGATCTGGCTAGAACCACACACCTTTAATCCCTCTGGCTGGAATACAGACACACCCTCAGAACACATCTTTAATCCCAAACAATGAAGGTAATTTTGGTTTGTAGAAGGAAGTAGCCATGTTTGAAAGTGACACTAATTGAGGGGGCAAAGTTATGAACCAGAGAAAGATTTGACAGGATGAGACAGAGCTAGGATACACCCAACTCTCTGACAGAATGAGACAGAGCTAGGATACACCCAACTCTCATGAGAAGAGTCAGGAAAGAGAGATGATTTAAGAGAGTAACACAGAAATGAAAAAAAGGGGGAGAGAGAGAGAGAGAGAGAGAGAGAGAGAGAGAGAGAGAGAGAGAGCAGTTTTACCTTGACAGTTTAACAGACAGGTTGCAGGTAAAGACCAAAAGAGCCAGAGACTGAAAAGGGGTCAGAAGATTAGAGCAGAGTGACAGAGTTAGTTTGAGGCCAAGCAGAGCAATTCAGTCAGAAGCTGAGAGAAGCCAGTTTGAATCAGTCAGCTTGGAGTGGAGTTTGAGTCAGAACAGCTGAGTTCAACCAGCCAGTCCTAATCCAGGAAGAGCTAGAAAGGGGGACTTTATTCAACATTAGCCTCCAAGATGACAATTATATTTTGTGAATAGAAGTTACATTTACATTAGTAAGTTTTAAAACTCTAACTTATTGGTCCTTTATCAATTTCCTTCTCAGAGATTGACAAGAATTTCCCCCCTGAAATTAGAATTTAGCAGTATTAGATGCATACATTTAAAGAGTTACACCTCAGTTAGTTCTGACAAATCAATGTACACATGTAACAGCTCACATCTCTAGCACAATGTAGGCCAGTTTCATCACTGTTTATAGAACTCTCACTCTCCACTGTTTGCTGCCTGCCTCCTCCATGCAGTTATTGCTCTGATTCCTATCACAATAGAGCAGATATGTCTGTCCTTCAGTCTCATGGAAAAACCATCATTCAGGCAGAACAGTGATATTGAGAGTTATCTATGCTGTTGCATGTTTTAACAGCTTATTTTGAAAGAGATAGACATTCCTTTATACCCTTAGCAGTATCATTCTACACCTGCCACTCCATACTGAGGCTTGTAAACAATGGGTGGTAAATAAAGTCTATCTTTTAAAAATGAGAATTTACATTTAGTCTCTTAAGATTTATTCAAAAATTCATAAAACTGGTAATACTGAAATGACCCAAATCAGACCTTCTTTAAACGGTTTCATCCAAAAGCATTTTAAAGAGTTTGTCACTTCTCAACTGAAAGAACACCCTGCATGGGAAACATGATAATCTCATAAATTATCTGTTCTTCCCTGCTTCTATTACATTTTTATCATGCATTTATTTGGTGTATAAGAGGTCCTGAAACTTGTTTTGTTAGCTTGAAATATGACAGTAGAGGAATATATTAAAATCAAGAATGTTGCATAAAGCTTTGGTTTATTTCAATAAAGAATGGGAACTATCTATGTATTGATTTAAAAAAATAATTGCTTGTATTTATTTCATACTCAAATTTTAGTAAATTATTCCCTGATGTGTATAGAATAGATTTTAAATACAATGTTAATAATGCAAACACCACTGAAATATGTAGGTTGAGAATTAAAGATTTAAACAATCCTATTCTTCTTCACATCAGGTCAGCATCCAATACTCCTGGACACTAATGCCACAAAGAGTGTTATCCAATGAATGGAAATGGTTGATGTTAACCTAGTCATGGCTGTAATCCTTTGTGAAATTCTGCTACATGAATATACAATAGTTTGCTTATCTGTTCTGTAGACACACTTTTAATTGCTTGTAGTTTTTACTTATTGCAGATAAAGCTGGTAGAGCATTTATGCACAGCATTTTGTGGGCATTGTTTCTATCCCCTTTCATGAATACCCAGAGATGAAATTCTTAAGTCGCACTGTAAGTGTCTGTTTATCACGATGGAAACCTTCCGACCTGCTTCCCAAAGTAGCTTTGTCACTTTCTATTCTAGCCAGTAAGGAAGAGGGCTCTGTCTTGTCATAGCCCTTCCAGTATGGCTGCTTTTGATTTCACCCATTTTTGTATGGATAAAATTTTTGTAGGCATGGAGTGGAATTTCTTTGTGGATTTAATTAGCATTGTTTCCTAATGACTAGTCATGTTGGGTGCCTTTTCTTGTATGCAGAGACCATTAATAAGCCTTCCTCAGGTGTCTGCTGAAGGCTTCTTACTCATCATGTATCTTTGTTTTCATTGCTGGATTTTAAATGCACATGTGATCAGGAATTTGTATACATTGAGTATATTTTCACAGGCATGTCAATATTTTCTTCTAATCTGCCTTCTCACTGATGACTATGGGTAAGTTAAAGCTTTTAACGTTGATGAAGTATGTTTCTCTTTTCTTTTTTTTTTCAGAGCAAATACATTTATTTGCCCTAAGAAATCTTACTCTACTTCAAGATCAGAAATTTAATTCTTTTTTAGTTAAGAAGACACATTATTTTACTAGCTTTACAGATTTTTAACCCTCATGTTCTGGTATACAACTTCTATTCATTTAGTATTTGTTCATAGCGCAAGGTAAGAGCTGAAGTGCAGGGTCTCCTTGTCAGCCTTGAGTGATTGGCTTTTGCTATGAAAACAAGTTGGGGATGCTGCTGGTGGCAGAGGCTTGCTGAGTATGTCGAGACCTTGACACCCAGTTCCTAGCACAGAAAATGTGGGGAGAGGAGCAGAGGAAAGAATGGACTTTCAGACCAATCATTTAACAGCTGTCTATTGTGACGCTGTTTGGCTGCCCATCCGTAGTTTTATAGTAGGGAGTCATCATGTACAAGTGGACCCAAGTGGAGGGTAAAGATTAGTCGTCAGCTACTGCTTCTTATGGGACTTGAATTCAGAACAAAGAAATCACCAGAAACGTGTTGGGCGTTCTAGAGTGAAAACACACACAACTTTCCATTTCCTGATGTTCTTCCTGGGTAAAACAGCGCAGAAACTGCAAATATGATGTGGTTCCCCAGGATTTCATGATGTGTCGCAGGGTCTGCCATCTCTGCTGGCTTTACACCCATTTTATCTTCTTCCTTACCCTACAACAGAAGCTCCTTGTTCAAGTCAGTGGGCCAGTTCCAAGGCACGGTGTGGAAATATGTGTTTTAGCACTACTTGGTTCAACAGATGGAAACCCATCTACAAGGTGTTTGAGAAAAACCAGCATTGGATCTTACTCTGTAGCTTGAGAAATACAAAGGCTAAGATTATTTTCAAAATATGTATTGAAATGATGCCCTATGTGAAATAAGGTGAAAATTGTTTTGGTAAACATTTTAATAGTGAAAGTACTCTAGGGATCATTGCATCAAATATATATATATATATATATATATATATATATATATATATATATATAAAATAGCGAAGTCAGAAATATTGCTTAAAAATGAGATAAGTAGTAAATGCATTTTACATTAGTTTCCCATGGCATGGAATTTTCTGAAACCAGAAAACGAGTACCAGTTGCTCTAATTTATTAACTCAAATAGTCAGTAGTTTCCTTCTACCTTAAACTGCAATATAAACATGAGTTTAGCGAGTTTGCTTTAGTGAATATTTATGCAGGTTTTTTTTTTTTTTTAAATAGGGAGCCCGAGAAGAAATGGAATTGGATAAATGACCTCTGTGGTCCGGACGCAGGACCAATCTTGCATCTCTTCTGAGGTTGAGCCCATCTCTTGTTTGTTTTGACATTCAGAGAGATGGTACACCTCTGCCTTTCTTCGCTGTTTGCAAAAAGCTGAGGTAGTTGAAAAGCAAGGGTGACTGGCTTCCCAATGGCTTTCCGATCTGTCCTTGGTGCTGTGCAGAGCTGGATAGGCGAAGAGGATGCTCCTTGGCTTTGTGCAGAATCTTCCCCCCCCCGCCCCCCCTCCCCCGTCGCCCGCAGCGCTGAATTCGCTGATCTTGGTTGCCACGTTCCCGTTCCTTTACATTCCGAAGCCTGCTTCCCATTTTGCCAGAAAACGAGGTAGCTGTAGCCGCAGATAGACTTTTTCCTTTTTCTCTTCCCTCCTCCTACCCCTCCCTAGACCTCTCTGGGCTTTGACGTCATGTGTGCTCCTTTCAGTTGCCATAGCAACCCCATTCCCCAAGCCCTCTGTCAGTCTCCTCTGGTAGGTTCCACAATGGTACAGGCAGCCTCCCGCTGCACAATGGTTTCCAGGCAGTGAGAGGGTGATTCAGCAAGCCGCTCTCTCTTCTCTTAAGCCTCCTCGTCTCCGTTTATTTTTATGGGGGTGGGTGGTGCTTCTTATATGCTTACCCTTTTTTTTATTTTCATTTTTACAAATTTCCTTTTTCTTCCTCACTCCTCAATTCCTAGGGGCTTGAGTGAGCTAAAGATTGGGTCTTCTTGAAAATCACCTGTCTGTTATTATTTTTAAACAATCTCTACACCTCCAAAGATTCTCCTCCTTATTCCGGTTTGGAATGTGGCTAATGAAAACCCAGTAGGAAGGATTTCTGAGGCAAACAGCTGGACCAGGATCCTAGTTCTCAGGCACGGAATGGTAGGTGACTCCTTGCTCATTCTGGGTTCTAATCTGGTTTGGGAGGGTGGATGATATCTGTCATCGCTCTTGGTGGGATGGGAGAGAGCATGAGAAAGTAGGAAGTGATGGTATTAGAGAGCCGGTTTAACCAAGCGAAGCTTACTATCTCTGAGGCAGCAAGACTGGCGTTTCTCTCTGGCAAAGCATCTCTTCTCAGATAGAGGCTGAAACCTTTCTGTTTGGAGTGAAGAATTCTAGAAGGTGGGACAGACCATTATTATTATGACTTGGCAGAGTAAGAGAAACACACACGAGGGTGGAGAGAGAGGGGGGAGAGGGATAGATAGATAGATAGATAGATAGATAGATAGAGGCTGGATCTCACTTTATCTGAGAAATGCTATGGGTCTCATAAAACATTCAAAAATGTCATTAGTAAACATAAATATTTATTTCCAGACCGGTTTAACTTTAAATATTCTAGAATATAGTCATACAGTTTAGAGGTATTTACAAATATATTAGAAACTATGTTCTTCTTGTAGAAAGATCTGGAGCTAAATTTGGGCTGCAGACAGGAACAGGGACCAGCTAGGGAAAGGAGCAAACACTGGCACTGCAGCCACCTAGGTGAAGGTCCCTTTAAGAAAGTGATCTCCCAGTCAGAGCAGGCAGCATTTTTCTATGGCAAGGTTCCCAGGTATTCAGTGCTGAGATACTGTGTCCCCTAGAAATGTCAGAGCATTTTCATAAAGAAAAGAAAAAGCTGCCGTTGGAAAAGAGCGGGATGATACAGTTATCAGAATTTATGTGTTTGTTCTTCAGAGAATAAACCTCCAAATAAATCAGGTTATGATATGTGATACATATATCATATATATCATATATATATGTATATATATCATATACATATATATATTATATAGATGTTCCTTCCAACATTTAAATAGAGGGACCAAGGTGCTGCTTTGACTCCCTTTTACAGATAACTTTCAAGGGCATTGCAATTTGGCCACAGGAAGGAATGGCTTACCCCAGGACAGCAGGTTTTGGAGCAGCCACAAGGTTGTTTACATGGTCTGCTTTTGCTGCAGAGTGATGTGTCTGCGTGACAGAGATAACTTTCATGAACACAGGCTAAGTCATATGGGACAGGCCACAGCTGGGAGTCAAGGAAGGTTGCTGTTACCAGGCATTACCTGCTCAAGTCCTGCCTCTTTCTAACGCTGCTCTTGTCAATCCTGGATGGGTTTGCAGAATACTGATCAACATATTTAAAATGGTTGCGGTAGTAGCCACTTCTCTCAGAGAGGCTTCAGAAGAAGGCTGTCCTCAGGGAGCACATATGCACAGGAGCCATGCTCATGAATGAATTCACGAGCTTCCAACTCCACTTTGGAATGATGGGGATTTAGGGCTAAAGAGTGTGATGTAACAGTCTTGCTGCTTCTAGTGTGTGTTTCCTTTCTTTAAACAAACAAACAAACAAACAAACCGACCAACCTTGGTCTTACCTTTCAAATTGGCACAAGAGTATTGTTCAGTGAATCTACTTAGACCAGAAAGGATTGTCTCTTTCCTCACAATAGGACTAGAAAAGCAGATGAGAAAGATGATTTGACCTTAAGTATGAGTTTCCAGCTTCCTTATTGGCTTCTCCTTCCCTCGGGTCATTAGCAGCTTTCATTTTCAGGGCAAAATCTTTGCAGTTGTAAAGAGGCTCCTAGTGACAGGAGAGCCGAAACTACCTGGGGACTGGCAAATTCAGCTGCCTCCAGCTTCCTGCTTGCTGTCCCCCCAAAACAGCATCTGCTGGGGGAGGGGGTATGTTTGCATGCTGGAAGGGGTGATTACAAACCAATCCCACAGGGAGGGACTGAGTGTCTTCTCTCATTGTCTGGTGCATCTGCAGCTTGTACTATGGTTTCATAGTACGTGGTCAAGATGTTTCAAGGTTAAAAGAAACTGAGAGGTGATATGAATGCTATAGAACAGTGTTATTTAAATCTACAGCAAAACTTATTCACTGTCAGTGTGTGCTATAGGAATATCAGAAGCCACGGAGACTTGCCTAATGTAAGTGATCAAAGGCACATACATGTATTAAAAGTTATATTGTAGCCTCATGTAAATGACCCTGCCTCTTTGAGTATGAGCTTAACCACGAAGGCTTTCCATCTTGATGACAAGATGAAGAGCAAGTGGTTTCCTTGTTTGTTAAGCACCAGGTCAGGCGCGTTTTCTTCTTGCTCCAGAGCTGACCATAGGTCCTATCTGTAGCTAGAGGCCGGATCTGGAGTGGAATTGCTGTGAGTAAGCCAAGCAAATCTTTGGTTGCTGGTCAGAAAAATGGGCTGCTGGCAATGGCTGCAGTCAATTTGCGTGAGAAGCAAACACATCCATGCGGAGAGGGCCTCATCCCTGTCGTGCCCCCACCCCCGCTTCCTGTAAGAGTTCTTCCAAAGCTCTTGCTTGCCATGGTGTCAGTCTTGCATAGAGACGTGCAGAAGTGTCCAGTAGCGACTAGGAAGGAACACAGTGCCCTCCTTGCTGCGGGCATGCCAAGGAGCTCCCACCACACAGGCATCTGTTACTGCGCCTTCTCCTGAGCGAGGAGGGGAGGGCTTGTGGGGCGAGCGGCCTACAGACTCCCGGGAGGGAAGCTGCATCAGTCAAGGCGAACAAAATCCATTTGTCTCTTCAGCATATTGAGATTATTTACTGCATTACATAATCTTGTGTTGAGACACGGTGCTGCCGATTTGAGTAAGAGGGCTTGCTGCATATTGTTTGAGGAGAAGGAAGCTGTCCTTTAGAACAGAGCTTGTGTGTTAGTTGCTCCCTACCGGCTTTCACATTGAACTTCAACTGTTTTGAGCAGGCTAGTTTGAGTACATTTCAATCTCACGAGCTAATTAAAGTAGAGAACAGAAAGTTAAAAATCTGTATATTTTGAGGACCATTGTTTCTCTTATGTTTACCTTTTTAAATACACACACACACACACACACACACACACACATATATGGTGAATCTTGGTAAAATGAGTGGAAACACCGGGTAACACTGAAAAATCTCTGACTTGAACTTGTATGTTTGAAAGCAGTTTCCAAACACACCTATTTTCAGCTGAGGATTTTGTAGTCTAATTGACATTTTGGACCCACAACGAGCTACTTTGGCTTCTTTCACCATTCTCAGCTCTGGTGCCTCCAGCATACAAAACCCATAAAATAGTGTGCTGCTGGGGATGGAACCCCGAGCTTTGTACAGAAAAATAAATGACAGCGCGCTCCTGTGGAATTACTCTATTCACAGCTGCTCACATGCTCCGAGTGCTGTGCAGACTGAAGGTGCAGCCATGACACAGGGCCCCAGTCATGGCACAGGGC